CTCACCTCAGCCTCCCAAAGGCATGGGATTACAGGCTGAGCCACCGAGCCCGGCTATCATCTTAATTTTTAACTAATTCTATTAAACCTATCCTATGACATGGTGCCAAGGAAGCTCATTCTAGCTATAGATACTACTAGCTGGCTACATACTATTAGTTTTTAAAAAATGATTCTCAGCAAGCTAAATGTAACTGTTATCAAATACAGTTTTTACTTCAAAATGTAAATTATCTACTCAGGATACAGGCAGTTCCTGCATTTATAAGTAAAAAGGTATGTAACAGCACCCTAATGGTCGTATGTCATGACACATGCCAGCATCAACTCCTCACTCTACTTCCATCTATTTTTAAATTACAGAACTTTGAGGGTCATTCCTTGGTGCCTCTTGTCAGTTTTTAGTAGTAGATTTGTAAGCTATAGGGACTGTTTTTAAGTCAAGGGATTAAGTACCCGGGCACTGACAATCATTGTCTTTCTGAGACAGTGGTGGTAGGGTGGTGGGTACAGGAGGGATATGCCAGCAGGGGCAACTGACGATGAGGTGAATCTTGTCACTGCTCTCACTGGGCCATGACCCAGCTATTAGTTAAGAGTAGTGAAAGCTTTACTGTAAAGATGAGGTCTTACCAAGTTACCCAGGCTGGTCTCGAACCCTCGGACCCAGGCAATCCTCTCACCTAGGCCTCCCAAAGTGCTGGAATTACAGGCTGAGCCACTGCGCCTGGCCTTTCTTCACTTTTTTAGTGGCATATTAAATTCTCCCTAGCTGGGAAATTTGAAAACAAAACAAGAGGAAAGCTATGTTCTATTTAGGGCATTAGGAGTTTGGGTTTGGATTAATATTGACATGAGTTTTATTTTTTATTTCTATTTTTATTTCTATTTTTTTCCCAGAATTTCTTAGTAGACTTTTAACATGAATTGCCTTAGAAAACATCTCTTGATTTTTCTGTATGATATTGCATTATGCAATTACTCTTTTTCTTCCTTCATGAGAAAATGAACCCTCAAATCTTCAAAAAATAAAAACATTGGAGAAAAAGAAAAAAAAAAAAGAGTGGTCAAAGCATGTAGGCCTTGGAGTGGCAGCTACTCACCTGCTATCTGCATTTCTCCCTTGGGTTCAGTCATGACCTTTCCCGTTACAGGGGTAGCTTCTTTGAGCTCAGGAGAAGGAAGAAGTAGTGTTCAATATCTTGAATCTGTTTCCTTCTCTCCTCCTCCCCCTTCTGCCATCAGTCTCTTTCCCGCCTGGTCTCTGCACTGATAGTCTTGGTTCTCCCGCCTTGGCCTAGGCGAAGTGTACGTCCCAGAACTCTGCAGAACTCTTGGGAGAAAATCCAGATTCCTTAACAAGATCGACAAAGCCTCTTGTCTGAATTATCTCTGGACACCCCTGAAACAAACAGACACACAGCAGACGCCCTCCCTTCTAGGTCCCCCACTGAATGCATCTTCTCTTTGAGCTCCACGCTCCCTTACCTTGGTCCCTTGCTGTTCTGTTTTCTCCTTTGAATAGTTACCAACAACATCTTCAAACCTGGCTAAATCCTTTTCCTATTTTAAGTCCTAACTTAAAATTGCTTATTCTAGTTATACCTTCCCTGAGGTCCTGGTACCCACACTTCTTTTCCATAGAGCTTGTGGTGCTGTTTTCATTGTCTACTTGTCCATCTCCCACTAGGCCAAGAGCTTCCTGAACACACAAAGATGTTCAGTGCTCACCTCCAGCACCCAGCCCATCGCTTGGCTCATGAGCGAGCGATGAGTGGATGAGTAGATGAGGGCTGGCCTGCAGGACCAAAGAGGTGGCAGAAACGACTTTACCACCACAGAAGTAGGTTTTGGCAAGGGCCTCCAGATGCTGAACATGTCTGCGAAGGCCAGGTCGGGGGGGTCACTAGGCACACTGCACAGGCTGCTCAGACACCAGTTGTCTCTCTTTCTCCCCAGGTCTGGCAGGGTCTTGCCTTCCTGTGTTTAGCACACTGCCCTTTGCCTACTGCAACATCCACCAGGTGTGCCACTATGCTCAGAGAAACGACAGGTCCTACTGGTTGGCCAGTGCTGCACCCCTCCCCATGCGGCCACTCTCGGAAGAGGCCATCCGCCCATATGTCAGCCGCTGTGCTGTTTGCGAGGCCCCAGCCCAGGCAGTGGCAGTGCATAGCCAGGACCAGTCCATCCCGCCATGCCCGCCAACCTGGAGGAGTCTGTGGATCGGGTACTCGTTTCTGATGGTGAGTCTCCTGCCCTGGAACCCTGGCATACCGGTCATTTCCTACCTAACATATTCTCTTGCCCTTTCTGTCTGGATTGGACAGTAATTTTGCACACTGCAGAAAACTGTAGGACATAAAGTCACACAGGCTGTCACTAACCATTAGTCTCTTGAGATGCAGGGGCATTTTCTTCAATTAATTTTTAAAAATCACTTTGGTAGAAGTTAGAAGATAAATTTGGCTTCAACCATTGGTGACATTAGCTTCGTTTGGTGTATACATCCAGCATGCTTACTACTTCTCCTTTTCAGTAGATTGTATTTTCTTTTTTGTGGAATAATTTAAGAAAAAAATGTTAAAATCAGGTCCAAACCTGAGCATGTCCCCGATTGGGTCTGGGGTTACCTGTGGGTATCTGAGCCCTAATTCTCTCTTGTTGTCTGGGTAGCACACAGGAGCTGGGGACCAAGGAGGAGGGCAGGCCCTCATGTCACCTGGCAGCTGCCTGGAAGATTTCAGAGCAGCACCATTCCTTGAATGCCAAGGCCGGCAGGGAACCTGCCACTTTTTTGCAAATGAGTATAGCTTCTGGCTAACAACAGTGAAACCAGACTTGCAGTTTTCTTCTGCCCCATCGCCAGACACATTAAAAGAGAGCCAGGCCCAGCGCCAGAAAATCAGCAGGTGCCAGGTCTGTGTAAAATATAGCTAGTAATGTGAAATTCACCAACACATGGCCAAGGGAAACTTCCGAGGGGGCTAAGACTTCCTAAGCTGTGCTAAGAGATATCATGGTGCTCATTTCGGACTCGTTCTCACTGTTCCTACAGTTTCATCGCAGATATCCCACAGTCCTCTGTTCCTTACAGATTAAGCAAACACTATGCATATGCATTTGTTTGAACCTACCAATCTAGATGAAATTCAGATACTCGTATTTTATTGAGGATGATGGAAGAGTTGGCTTTATTTAAAAATATACTAATTCATAGGAAAGCAAGTAGGTGATAAAGTTCAGATTACAAATTACATTACTGAAAATTTCATTCCTTGGTCAATAGCACCTCAAACAACTGAAGTCAATTACTCTCTGATACAGTGGGCTTCTGGATGGATTTTACAGGAGAAAATAACTAGGCCAACAAATGAAACTAGAAGGTAGATATTGTCAACATTTCAAAATGATTTCCTCTGTAGTCTATTTTTCCGTGCACTTTAAATAATTGTAAAACCATGACCCAAAGAGATTTTATAAAAAGAAAAAAAAAAAAAAACAAACCCCACACTGCCAGAGTTAACAGTTCGTTTCAAAGCAGAATGAATCATTATGCCAGGAAGGCCCACAGTTGCCATATTCCAAAGATGAGACATTAGCATAAACACATCACTAGATGAATATAAAACATTATGTTCTCTTCTGCATTTTTCAGAGAATAGAAATGCCTACTTTGGCAACCCTTTTGAAAAGTAGCAATTATGGAAAAAAGTATATTCAATAAGGGATTAAGAGCCTAAAAGCTATTAATGAATATTAAGGTAGTGATTCACAAAAATTGACTCCCCATTGCAGGGAACTTCCAGACAGACTGCTTTTCCCCAGTCGGGGTCCAGCATGTCCTCGGTGCTTGCTTGTGTGCTAATGGGACTGACACTACATGGGGCTTACTCAGGCGGCACACAGTTCACACAAAGCAGCTCACTCCCCTCCCTAGGAGAGCCCGCAGAGCTTCTTGCATCTCACAATGGACACTTTTCCTCCACACACATAATGGCAGTTCACACAAGGAAGTGACAGAGCTATCATTATGCACTTGGGAGGAAATTGAGGGCCGACTTAATTAAACTTAGGTAAGAAGATTCGTTTAAGTCAGGGTTAACCCACCAGGAGGACATGGTGCTTGCTATCTTTAAATGAAACAAAGACAGTTGGCAATCTGAATTTTATGCTCCTGTGGTTGGTTTTTACAGGAGCATCTGATTTTTCTAATTTTAAAGACATACTTATATTTCATATCAGTATTATACCAAGGCAGCAGTTTGACATTTGGCATTAGTATTTTCTATAAGAGTTTAGAAGGTATGTCAATTTATAATGAGCATGTTTTCTGAAGAGCAAAAGATCCTTTTTCTATTTTGCTAGAAATTCAGTGCTCTAATTCTAAAGATTTGTTGGAAAAGATTTTTAGGAAACTTACCTTCCTCATTTAAAAAAATTTTTTTTAGAGAAAAATAAACACACTTCTCATGAGAATGGCACTCATTTTAGTGCCTAGTTTCCATGCACTTAAAAATAATTGAGAAGAAAAACTCAATTAAAATTTTGTTTATAAGAAACATTTTCCTGCCAAACTTTGATTAGTAATGAGCTCTTATAGGCGGAACACGTTTCAAATAAGTTTTGCTATGGGCTGCTCCCGGGATGGCAATTTATTTTAAGAGTATTTTCTGGTAAAAAGAATAATGTACATTTAAGATGAAATATCTTCTTGATGTAGCAAATATTTCCTAGTTCAGTGGACCCATTTGATATTTTTTAAGCCAGGTTATGGCATATTAAATATTTTTGAGCACCTGAAATTGAAGCCGACTTCAACCCTACTTGTAATCAGGGTTGAAAAAGCTAATCTATTAGCTTCCAAAAAGCTTCATCTTATTACCAAATGTCAAGCTTCCTAAAAGTTCATCTTCTTCCTCACAAACAATCTGAGAGCATGTTCTGAGAAGAGATAGGGTGAAAAATGGAACACCAGAAACATATCTTGCTTACTAAATTATTTTAAACACTTTAACTTTGGCATTAGAATGTTACCTTAATATGTTTTATAAATAAGAAAAAAAGAAAACCCACACAGGCTAAATTAAGTAGACAATTTACTCAGAGTGAATCTGGGATAGTGAGTATCAGACTGTTCAAAGTGCTCGTATCACAAGATACAAATGCAGCAAAAATGCTGCCCTCTAATTTTGAAAAAAGTATTTTAAATAGTCAAAAGGGGAAAACAATAGGAAAAATAACTCACTGGAATAGAAGACCATGTTATCTTAAGCCATTATTTTCTTCACCTGGTTATATATCAATGTGCCTTTCTCTATGAAGGCCATGAACAAAGCTTTGAAGTTGTTTTCCTAAGCCGTTACTGGTGATGAACCTTACCAAATCTTTCTTCCCAAGGACCCTGCCATCCCTATCATTGAGTGGCACGTGCCCTGATTGCCCTCAAGGGAATTGCTCTGCAGCCCCTGCTGGAGGACTGGGATGTTTGCTTCTGGGCTCTTCCTCTCTGTGAGTGGAGCCCATCATCCAGGCAGGCCTCCATGCTGCAAGTGGCCCTCCCCTTCTGCTCTCACACTCCCCAGACGGAAACTTGAGTCACCACTTCTGGTGGATTGCTACTTCCTCTCTAGCCTTGTGCACCTAACACAGCCTTTGTCTTCCACCTATACTTCTGCTGAGATACTAGAGGCATCTCCCAACTGGTGCCTCTAGTTTCAAATCCCAATCATCATCTAAGATCCATCAAAGCTTGATTTTGTTATCCTTTGGATTAAAATTCTTCAATGACTCCATTGCCTATGAAGTCCAAAAGACGTCCCCTGGGTGAAAGGTCCAGTGGGAACTGTCTGAGGCCAATCTCTAGGAATACTTTGGGCCACGATGAACTGTATGCAGTTCCGCAAACACTCCTAGTACCTCTGTGACTTTGCTTCTTTCTACCTGTGATATCTCACTGAGATTCAGTTTACCTGGAAGGACCTACCAATCTTTAAAGACTAAGTTAGTGGGCCAGGAGGGTGGGGGCTCCTCCAGGGAGACTCAGACTCCCTTCTGCTGCTCTTGGCATAGTTAAGCCTCTTGACAGAAGCTGTCCTCATCCTCTGTGTTCCCCATTGCTATAATGTCTTCACGCACTTCCTTCATTCCATTGCCAGTACGCAAGCTCCTTGAGGGCAGGGACCAGCGTCACTTGTTTTTGTATGCTTAAAGCACATTACTGACACCTAATTCTTTTTCTCAATGACAATTCCGTAAGCATCATCAGACATTAGGTGCTCAGCTCTACATATAAGGTCTTAATCAATGATAGGGTAACAAGTTATAAACCTTTTTTATTTCAAAATATTTGAATGTTCAACATATCTGCACACCCACAATTTCCTACTACAATTATTGCCAGAAAGCCTACCGATAAGCTTTCAATTGGTTTATCACTCCCTCCCCCTCAAAATAATAGATTCTTGCTTTTCTACAAACTGAAACTTTAGAAATGATGATTTGAGAGATATGACTGGGAAGACCCTTCAGTGAAATGTGACATGACTTAATTCGTGCTATCATCTGTATTTCCTCATAATTTAAGAGCTTCCTAAAACAAAATCACCTCTATAAAGTTTGTATACATGTTATTGGTGCTTAGTAAAACAGTCAATGGAATGGTGCATTATAATTGGGTTTTGTCAAAGATTTCATTTTGAGCCTCATGGAGATTGTAATAAAACAAAACAGTCTATGTGTTCCAGGAAATTATATTAGATTTGTGTTTCTATCAGCACACTGGAATAATCTGATAATTGCTAATTTTACTTGGCATGGCTGTAAGAATAATGGAAAGATGAAAACTTGAGCACTGGTTTAAACCAGGTTTGAATCCAGCTCTATCATTTTCCAGCTATGTTACCCTGGGTGAGTTCTGCCAGCTCACTGGGTTTCATTTTCCTCATTGATAAGTTGGGACAGAACATCTCTTGCGTTGAAAATTAACTTAGATTATCTGTCTAGCACATAACAGTCATCACACATTTATTATGGTCACATCTTCTATTTAAAATAAACTATTTAACATGAAAAATATTTCTTGGGTTTTTTAAACACAGAATTATATTATGGTTCTTACAAGGTATATTAATTACTGATTAGAATTATTTATATGTGGCCAATTCTTAATATCTTTGGACATGCTGTTTTATTTCAATTCTCAAAGTTACTATACCACAAAAAATATCACAGTTTCCTACAGGGACATTATCAGTAGTTTCTGCAGGGAACAAACAATTGACATTAAAAATCAGTACTCTGCAATTGTCACTGTTATTATCTGCTAGAAACTCTGTATAATGCATTTTAAAACACCAAGGCTGGCTGCCACATCCATGTGAAATGCTTGAATTTTATGGTGCTTAAATATTTAATGATTCATGGGAAAAAATGTGAAGTGTGTTCAATAAATTGCTTCCCTTTCTCTAACCTATGGTTGTAAAGTTAAGGACTTTCAACATGTAACTTTTGCAAGATGCCTGGCCTGCCACTGACACTTAAATCTTTGTTGTATTATGATTTATAATATGGCTCATTATATATAAAATTCTGTGATGACTTCCAAAAACAACTGTGTGTTACCTGGTGTATTTATTTTCTTTCAAGCCAAAGTGGGTTTACTTTTTTAAAACCTACCTCATAATTTGGCCTTCCCTTGAGATGCTACATGGTGGAAGTGTGAACTGCAGGAAGGAGGCATGCATACTGGAAAGGATGGGATTCTGAGTCCTTGGGAAGCACTGTTCTATGTACAATGATGGGCGCAGAAGACAAATGAAAGCAGGCCTCGGGGCTAGAAGGTCTGCATCAAACCCAGGTGAGCTGCCTGGGTAGTGGACAGGCGGTATGGAGCTCAGATCTCTTTGGGCCTCAGCAGTCTCATTAATTAAGAGAACTACCTGCTCCATGGGGTTGTTTGAAGGATTTAAGGTTCAAAAGTCAACTACAAAGAGATACAGAACCAAGGATATCATTACTTACAACTATAGTAACTTGAAGTCAAGGGTTAGGCACTGATTAAATTTCTCTTATTGCCAAATAAAGGGATAGGCGGAATGCAGATATTCAATCATGACTTCATGAACTTACTCTTTTTAAGTAGGAAGGAACTTCAAATGGAATTTGGTCCAGCCTCTCACTGGACAGAGAAATTAGGATATTTAATGTTCCTTGAGCACCTACTATATGACAAGAACTGTACTGACCCTGATATACGTGCTTTCTTTCAACCCTACAACTCTATTATATTACAGATGAGGAAACCACTTTAGAGGGAATAAGGAACTTGGGCAAGGTCATATAGTCAATACCCAGCAGAACTTGAAGCCTGGTCTGCCTGTTGCTAAAGACAATGCTCTTCTCCATTAACCAACACCTCCCAGGGGCCTTCCCCATTTCTGCATTGGTTAGAAAATAGAGGATGCCACAAAGATGTCACTCTGGTACTCTGAATTGCTACTATCACTGCAAAGCCCAATGCCCTGGTTTCTAAGGCAGCTTGTTCAGCTCAGTCTGGAGACAGTAAGAACTCATGAGTTCAGAACTGTTTTGGGAGACTCCAAAAGACTTATACTCAGGGTCAACTGAAAAAAGCCAGGCCTCTGAAGCCCCTTGATGTCTGAGGTCAGCTATTCAGAGGAACTGCTCTGAGCTGGGAAAAGAAGGTTCTGGAGTTTCAGTTTATTGCAGCACCAGCCAACTTAGCCATTTTTATTCTCCCAATCATCAACAAGGCATCTCCCGTAATAAATGATTTCTTAGGGTAGCTTATATCCTCAGTGATTATAAACGTAGTGTTTATGATTTTATCAGCTAAAGATAAAATTCCTAACCAGTAATCATTTTTATCTATTTGTTTAGAAAAGGTAGGAAACATAGTAAAATGAGAAGTAAAAAGTTATTTGGGGTTTAGGCATGGTGGCTCCTGGCTATAATCCCAGCACTTTGGGAGGCTGAGGTGGGTGGATTACTTGAACCCAGGAATTTGAGACCAGCCTGAGCAAAATAGCAAAACTTTGTCTCTACAAAAAAATTAAAAAAAATTTAGCTGGGCATGGTGGTGTGTGCCTGTAGTCCCAGCTACTCAGGATGCTGAGGTGGAAGGATCACTTGAGCCCAGGAGGTGGAGGGTTTCATAAGCCATGATGGTGTGATCATGCCACTGCGCTCCAGCCTGGGTGACAGAGTGAAATCTTGACTCAAAAAAAAAAAAAAGATTAAAAATAACTTAAAAATAAATAAATAAATAATTTTATTTTGATCCCCAAGCAGTCCCTTTTCTTTCCTTCCCTCCCTTCCCCTCTCCTTCCAAGTTGAGGTCTCACTGTGTCACCCAGGCTACAGCGCAGTGGCATGATCATGGCTCACCATATTTTCGATGTTCTGGGCTCAGGTGATTACTTCTGCCTCAGCCTC